GGGGGGGGGGGACGAGGAGTGGCATTTTCTTTTCGTTCGCCCGCATCCATGCTCCGCGCTCCTGCCTGGCTGACTGACCGACCGCCCTTGTCCACCGTGTGACCCAGGTGAGGACGTCTGGGGTGTGGTGGTTTCCAACACGTGCGCCCCGGTGCACAACACGGCCGCCCCGCACATCCGGGCCACCACTCAGTCGTCCCCCTTCGATGGGCATCTGGATCTGGCGGTGCTGCGCAACACCGGTAATCCCACGCGTCAGATGTACCGCCTGTGCCGAGACACGGGGGGTCCTCTGTCACCGGCTCTTGCTACCGATCGGCGGGACGCCCCGCCGGAGGCCGTCGCCGGCGACGACGAGATCATCTTCCGCCGGGTGGATGCGGTTCGTTTGTGCGGCGTGACATCGGCCGGCTTCCAGCTGGCCCATACCCACACCAACTCCTCCTCCAACAGCCCTGGGACCGACCACCACTCGGCGGGGGCGGCCCCACCGCGGCACCCGGCGCCCGCCATCGACCCGGATCAGCCACTGGGCGATATCATCATCACCCCGCTCGTTGGTGTCCTGACCGTGTTGCAGCCCTTCCACGGGGCTTGAGAGCCCGTCTTCCCCAAAGGTGGGGGACAGGGAGGGAGAGAGAGAAAGAAAGACATGGTCACGCGTGCGCTTCCCGGCCGGGCGCCTCCTCCCCTCCATGCCTGTTGGCCTCGGCTGCCGATATGTGGCGGGATGTAGCCACATGTATCGAAATAAACATGCATTCTATTGCCATTGACGTTTGACGGCGGCATGTTCTTCCCTCTTTCGCTCGCTTGCTTGCCCCCTTTGTCCCGGTCACATGCAAGGACAATCGTCGGCAAGACAGGGGAAGGGAAAGCCACAGGGACCCACACATCATGGCCGGTGGATCTTCAAGCGTCCGGTAGCCGGGTCAATGCGCACCCGCATGCCAGCCCGCTCCAGTGCATCAGCCACCCCAGGGTCAGAAATGTTTACCTGCGGGCCAAGGGTGACATCACCGTCTTCGGGCCCGATGCCGGTGGCCGAGCGGTCCGCCTGGGCCTCCAGTTCCATGATCTGCTGCTGGTTGGCCATACTGCCGAGGGTGATAAATCGCACAGCCAGGAGGGCCCACTCGCGAATGTCTTTTCGGAGCGAAGTGGGAAGGGGAGGAGGCGCGGGGAGGGAGAGAGAGAGAGAGAGGAAGAGAGAGAGGGAGAGAGGGAGAGTCAGCTGAGAGATGGCAGGGGGGAGGAGAGGAGCCCCGGGAGTGGGAGCGTGACGATATATATATATATATATATATATATATATATGTGTGTGTGTGTGTGTGTGTGTGTGTGTGTGTGTGTGTGTGTGTGTGTGTGTGTGTGTGTGTGTGTGTGTGTGTGTGTGTGTGTGTGTGTGTGCGTGCGTACAGGGGTTGGCGACGTCACTCTGGCAGAGCTCCAGCAAGGTGGGGATCCCTCGGGGGAAGGCGCCAACGGCCCTCTGGACAAAGCCCGCCACACCGGAGGCATAGTCGGGCACGGCATTGGTCCCCGACACAATGGATGCTGCTTGCCTCTGAGCCTCGGATGCCTGGCTCTGAGCCGGGGCCGCCAGGTTGGCCAGCACTCGGACAAGTAGGACCTTGAGAGCGCCAACAGCTCCAGCACCGGCGGTGTTGCTGCCGGTGTCAGTGTCCATGGCGCTGGCATCGTCCGCGTGGCGCTGTAGCGGAATCAGGCTATGTAGACAGAAGAGAAGGTCTGTGGGGAAGTGCGATGTGGAAGATATTAGCAGCAGCAGCAGCAGCAGCAGCAGCGTCAGTAAGGCGAAGGGGGCGCTTGGAAGGCGGAGCCGCGTGTGACAACGGACAGAGGGAATAGGTATGGGCCGATGAATCGACCAAGGCCTTGCGCAAGTGTGTCTCGGCGATGGCCTCAGCCGGCAATGCCGGCAAGAAGACATCCTCTCGGGCCGAGGGAGAGTCAAAGCAAACCGCCTGGTGGTCGTCAAATTCAGCCGAGGCAATGAAGGACAAGAGCTCGGCCAGATACCGGACCAACGACAGCGCCGAGACCAACTCTGGATGATGGACACATGCACACGCGAGCGCCGCGCACACAAGGCAGGGATAAACGCAGGAGGGGGGGGGGGGATGCCGGTCAATGTGGCTCCTGTGCGGCGGCGGCTCGGATGGAGGACCACAGGCAAAGTACGTACCCTCGGACTCGCTGAGGCCGGTCAAAGCGAGGGACAACATTTCGGTGGTCAGGTTGCTGATATGGCACTTGGCGGAGGCGTCGAGGTAATCCGGCACGCCGGCCGGCACACGACCCATCTCCACCGGGGCAGGCCAGGCAGGCCCCAGGAAGTACCGATGCACGGTCGACGAGTAGACCGCGGCCAGGAGCTGGCCGGGCACGGGGCTGGCCGCCAGGGGGCCACTCCCAGGGGTGGCACCCTCCTCGTCGATGCGTGTCAGCAGGCGCACGATGCGCACGAACGCCAGCAAAGCGGCCAGGGCCTTACTGGACGGGGCAACACCAAGAGGCCGGCAGGAAGCAAAAGGGCATGTCAGAAAAGAGGATGCACCGAGGGGGGTGAGAGGGGTGGGAAAACAACAAACCTGCGTTCACGAGCCGGCCGCGTGTCGGCCGGCCAGAAGGCGCCAGCATCATCGGCTCCTGGACAGCCAAAAAGCAGCTGCTCCATGACCGGAGGCCGGGCCAGGACCTTTTCAACCAGATAGACACTGGGATCCGGGCCGCCGAGGAAGGGCGAGGAGAAAGACGAGCGCCCGCAGCAGACGGGGAGGTGAGTCGAAGCGAGGAGGCCGCACGTGGCGAGCCCAGCAGCAGGAAACACAAACGCACGCCATTTCCGGGCCATCCTCATCATCATTGGCCCAGGCGAGAGCAGCGCGCGTGAGCAGCGCACCGAGGATCTCACGCCCAGCCGGAGCGGCAGAACAGGCACCTCTTCGATAAATGGGGAACAGGTGGTCAGAGGAAGGTAGCTGGGCATCATGGGATGCCGCATGGAGGGGGCGCAGGCAACAAGATCGAGGAAGACCCCGGGCGTACAGGAAGGTGCCGGACTTTTCGGCGCACGTGTGCACAACATAGGCCACCACGGAAAAAACCTCGTCCGACGAGGAGGCAATCCTATGCCGCAGATGGCAACGTGGAGACGGACACATTAGCACGGGGAAGCCGGAGGGGCCAGAGTGGCACCGGGAAGGGAGAGGTGAGGCATCTGGCGGACGCACAGATCGGCCAGCCAATTGCAGTCGCCAGCCGACGCATGGGCCACAAGCATGTCACCCAGCTGGACACCAGGGGCCTCCTGTCCAGACACAGCATTGGCGACCATCTGCCAAAAGAAGAGGGCGCCAGGGCCGCTGGCTAGGGGTCCGGGTGGGGCATCATCCGTGCGGCTGACCTCGGCGCGTCGGATATCGGCATCGGCCAAAGAGCAATATGCCGGGTCGTCGGGGGAGCTAGTGGCCGCTGCTGCGGCCGCCGCCAGCCGGGCGGAGGCATCCGCAAGCACCGAGGACAGGAGTCCCAGCACGGCGCCCGAGCTGGTGGGAGAGACTTGCCTGCCAAGGCGCAGGGCGGCCAACAGCGGCTCCGGCCAGGCGACTGGGCCATCGGCGGCGGCGGCATGGGCCATCTGCCGGGCGAGGGCCGCCGTCAGTGGCTGCCAAAAAGCCACGGCAGCTGCCTGGGCATCTAGGGCCTTGAGCAAATAGAAGGACTCCCGGAGGGGGAGAGCCACAAGGGCATCGAAGTCCATGGCGCCCGGAGAGGAGGAAGCTCAAGGGGGAGAGAGAGAGAGAGAGAGAGAGAGAGAGGAGCCAGGAGGGAGGAGATGCCGGAGAGGAGGAGATGCGAGGTGCGAGAGGTGCGTTCTAACACCCGCCTGGGGGGGGGGGGCATGCCGGCGCCGGGCTGGTGCCACGAGAAGCATGGCGACCGGGATGATCGAGAAGTCGCCAAGTGCCACCGCACCCGGGTATTCGGCAGGCCCCCTCCCCTCGCCGTGGGCGCATCTCTTGAGCGGGCATCACCGTCCCGAGTGAGGGCCCCCGCCCGATCGCGCCAAAAGCACATCCACTTCACGATCCCTCGCCACACACCCACACCAACGCACCTGCGCATGCTCCCCCCATGATCGGCTTGGCCCGTTCTCTTCCCGCCGCCGGGGTCTTCCGGCAGCCGTTCGGGCTGCGTCTGCCGGCCCTTGTCACCCTCCCGAGCCGCGTGTGTCGCCTTTTCACCGCGTCTCTCCCGCTGCCTCCCCTCCCCCCCCCTCCCCCCCCCCTTCCCGTCCCCCTGCACGGCACTAATGCTCTTGACCCCCGGACTCGCTGCCCCGCTCACCGCCCCAACTCAGGCTCGCTCGGACCAGGCTGGCCCTCCGGGATCACCTGCCCCACAGCATGTCGCCATCCTTGGCGGCGGGGCGGCCGGCGTGTCGACCGCCTACTTCCTGCGCACGCGCTATCCGGAGGCCGTGGACAGTGGCCGCCTCCACATCCACCTCCTGGAGCCAAGCCCGTCGCTGGGAGGGAACATTCGTTCTCTGGCCACGGATATTGTACGCCCGCTATCATGCCCAGCTCGGGGCCTCCCGGTTGTCTGCCTTTGGACTTGCCTTCTCGCCTCCTCCCTGCGGCTGATGCCCTTCCCCGGGCCAGGATGGCACTTGCCTCCTTTCTTTCTTTCTTTTCCCCCTGACTGACCGGTGGGCTCATTCGCGTGGGTGTGACTGCTGACATGGGAACCGGGGGTGGGGGGGGGGTGGTGGTGCAGCCATGCTCCGGTCGAACCTTCGGTCCGCAAACCTTGCGCCTGGCGTCCCCGCAATCGCTGCTGGTCCTGGGGCTGGTGGATGAGCTCGGCCTGGCCGGCCATGCGATGACCACCCGCCAGGCCTCCCTGTCATCGGGCATGGTCCTCGGCGGAGAGCCTTTGCTCATGTCGGCGCGCGGGCTGAACCGGCGCTTTGCCGACGATTTGCTTGGTTTGAATTTGGGATCCCTCGGCACTGGGCTGGCGGCGATCGCACGCGCAGCTCTTGAACCGGTGATCCCCGGTCGAGGTGCGGCGGCGGCCGGCCAGGCCCCCGAGGATGATGAAACCATCGATGAGTTTGCCCGGCGCCGGCTGGGCCGGCTCATGGCCGCGGGGCCGATGTCAGCCATGGCCCACGGCGTGTATGCCGGGGACTCACGGCAGCTGAGCATGCGAAGCTGCTTCGGCCAGCTGGTTCGCATCGAGCAGCATCATGGTCGACTCCTGGGAGCGGGCCTAGTGCCCTTCAGCGTGAGTGACCGACACACGGTGCATGAGCGCCTCCCGGGGCTGGTGGCCAGCCTGCTGGATGGGGGCCCGGGCGTCGGGCTTCGCGAGGACTTCCGCTCGCCCGTGCAGGCGTATCTGTCCCGGACCCCGGCGGCCCTGGTCGATCCGGTGGACCTGGCGGCCATCAGCCTGCTTGGGCAATTCCCCCTCTTCACCGGGGCCCCCTTGAAGGGGGTACCCTGGACAAGGAAGCGGTCGCCATTCACCGGGGAAGACCCCACCGAGCTGGCTCTGTCGGTGTTGCGTGTCGGGCCCAAGCGTGTGCTGTCCCTGCGGCCCGACCGCGCGAATGACCGAGCCCCGGGTCCCAGCGATGAGGCCGCCATTCCGCCGGCTGTTCACGGCAACCAGGCCCTCGTGGATCGCATGGCACACATCCTGAAAGGCAGCCCGAATGTCCACATCCACCTGGGGACCGGGCCGCTGTCGGTTGACCGGCCGGGCCCCGGCGGTCCCAAGTACCGGGTGTCGGCCGGGTCGGCGGTGTCGGTCCCGGCGGACCATTTGGTGTGCGCCGCGCCGGCTGGCTCCCTGGCTGACACACTGGCCCCCGCCCTGCCCGGCTTGGCCGGAGCCCTGGCCGCGGTCGGGGCCACCAATGCCAAAGTGACCGTCGTCAGTCTCCTGGCCCGGGGCCGGGAGCCCTTCTCGCGTACCGATACCCTGGGCTATCTTTGGCCGGCCGGCGAGCAAGAAGACAGCATCCTCGGTGTGGTGCTCAACTCGGACATCTTTTCCGAGTGCGCTCTCTCTCTCCCCCTCCTTTCCTGCCCCTCCCTCCCGAGCCGCCTGCATGCACTGCCTGCCGCCTTGCCTTTACTGACCACTCGTTCCTCCTTGGCCATCGCTCCTGTCCCATGCCCCCCTTCGACGCATCGGACAGGCATACCCCCAGCAATGTCTTTCAGGCAACGGTCATGCTCGGCGGGCACATGCCACCGCCGGAGGACCCGGTAGCCAGCAGCCTGCACCGGGTCCGCCAGCTAACCGGCTTGGATTTGGCAGACCCCCGTCTGGAGCTGGACCTGGCCCAATGGACCGGGGCCATTCCGCAGTACACGCGCGGGCATCATCACCGACTGGTGGACCTTGCTGGAAGGGCCGCCGGCGAGCGGGTGCACTTTGTCGGGTCCGCCTTCACGGGAGTCGCGGTGCCCCAGGTTCTCACCTCGGCATTCATGGCTGCGCGCGGCATCGCCGCCGAGCTGGGCCTCCATGAGGGCCTGCTGGCTGGCGTTGACGGCCAGGCCGGCTTGGGGTATCACCTTCGGCCGTGGGACACCTTCGCCGAGCTGGCCGCCGTCACGCCCTGACCCTCCCCCCCCCCCTCCCGCATCATTGGCAATACAGAGCACCCTCATACTGGTTGGCCCGCCGAGGGAGAGGCGAGACGAAGAAAGAAAAAAGCACCGAAGGACAGGGAATGTATTGAAGGGTAGAGGAGAACAAAGGGGCGGGGCGAGAGAGGGAGGTGGACATGGAGGGCCAGCAAGCCGGCCCCCGATCCTTCCCCGAAGCAGGTCTTTGTGGCCGGGCGAGGAGGAGGGAGGGGCACTGGGACACAAGGGTGTTCTTGTACGCGCAGATGAACCTGTGTCATCGGCATGCCAACTAAGCATGGCGAAAGGGGGTGTCTCTGCGCGTGCGCTTGAGCCTACACACGCATGCTCATGTAATGTAAAGGCCAGCCCTCTGTATCGGAGGAAGGGGTATTTAAATGACCCTCCCTCCACGAATAACTCTCTCCCTCTCTCGCTCTCTCTCTCTCTCTCTCTCTCTCTCTTTCTCGCACGCGCAATGCTTCCCTCATACCCCCTTTCAGGGGAGGGGTGGCGCATGCTGCGAGAGGAGGGCCTGTGAGAAGGCGTCCGAGAAGTTGTGCAACTGGTCGCAAGTGCTTTGAAGGGCCACGGCCAGCGAGATCGCCGCCTCCGAGGAGGGAGACCAGCGGCTGGCAGTTGCCTGGTCGATGAGCTGCACAGCACTCGTGTCCTGGTCGAGGGCACGCCCGATGAGGAAGGCCGGATCAGCCGTGTCGACTGGCGCCGCACACAGGTCGGACACCAGGGTATTGGCCGCGGCCGCCGGGCAACCCGAAAACCGGCAAGACTTGGAGGAACAAGGACAAGTGAGGCAGGTGGAATGGCCGGCGAGTGAGCCAGCATCGGCGGACGCAGCATCGGAGGCCATGTGGGTGCTTGGCTCGGCGGCCGAGGTCGGGGCTACGGTGGTGGAGGTGGCGGTGGCGGTGGCGGTGGCGGTGGCGGTGGCGGTGGCGGTGGCGGTGGCAGTGGAGGTAGTGGTGGTGGTGCTAGGGGTGGCCGAGGCCGTGGCGGGGGCGACGGGGGCGGTGGCAGTGACAGTGGCGGGGACAGAGCCACCATCCGACGGGCTCACACACGTGGGAACCGCCGGGGTGGCAGCGCCTGGAGACAAGGACGAAGAAAGATGGCCACCGGTGCTGGCGCTGGTCGGGATGTCCGGCAGCGGGCGCTGAGATAGCCGCGCAATGTTGGCCGCACTGCCCGGCGGCGAGGCGGCCACCCGACCGGCCGGGCACGGGCCATCAACAATCCCACCTGCACCCTCATCCGCGCCCGGGGTGTTGGTTTGGGGCGAGCCAGGAAGGCGTACAGGGGCTGGCCCTGCCACTGGCACCTTGGACACGCGTGGGTCCACGGAGCATGGCGCCTTTGAAGAGAGAGGAGCATCCTGGCTGGGCATTTGCGGATGTTGCTGCTGTTGCTGCTCGAGGCCACCTTGGCGCTGCTGGCTCGCCAGCGACCGCATATACTGCAAGGCATCCTGTGCCGAGGGGATGCCATCAGCAAAGGCGAAGGAAGCCGCCGGCCGAGTGGCCGGCGCCTTGGCCAGAACAGCCATCGGCGCCGGGGCAAAGAGCCCGGCGCCGAGCTGCGAGGGGGACGGCCCGGCCGCCGTCACCGCCGTCGTCGAGGCCGACAACAGCAATGTCGAGCTGATGGAGCCCAGGAGAGCCGAATCCGGGCTGACCGGGGCCACAACCGCCGAGAGGCCCGACTGCCCAAGGACATCGGCCACCGCACGCTCAGCCAGCAGGATCAAATCGGCCACAAGGTCGCGATACCGGCCGAGGGCCATGCTCCACAAGGAGTGGACCACCCGCTCGATGCGCCCGGTGACCATGGCAAATAGAGGAGCCACCTCGTCCAAGGTGATGTCCTCCGGCAGGGTGAAGAGAGCCGGCAGGCCGACCAGCGCCAAGGGCGCCGGGGCCAGCCCCACGGCCGGGTGTTTGAAGGAGTCCGCCAGCGAGGGGAGGGACATGTTGACCGGGGCCACGGGGCCCGACGGCACCGGCGAGGCGGCGGTGGCGGCGGTGGCGGCGGTGGCGGCAGCGGCGGCAGCGGCGGCAGCGGCGGCATGGCCAGGGGCCGAGACGCCACAGGCTGCGGCCTCTGTCGATGTCCCCACCGGGGTGGCACCGCCGGTTGGAATGACCAAAGCAGTGATCTCGGTGCACGTGCAAGCGGGCAACTCATCACCGGCCCCTCCCCAGCATGCGGCGCCAGGACCGGCATCGGTCACCGAGAAGGTGGAGTGCAGGGACTTGGTCAGAGGAGAGGGCAGCCGCGCCTCCGAGTGCTGGCAAGAGGTGCACCGTGAGCCCGGCCCCGAGGGCAGAGTGGCCGCCGGGGCCACTGCCGGAGCCGAGGCCTGGGCCATCGCGGCCGCCGCCGCCGCCGCATTGGCCTCCTGCAGAGCGTATGCCTTGCGCTCGAGGATCTCCAGGCGCGTGCAGACCGATGCCAGACGCGAAATGTGGGCAATGGCTGTTTCGAACACCAAGGACGGATCGACATCGTCCAGATGGAAGGACGGCGAGCTCGTCAGCCCGGAGAGCCCCTGCTGCGGGGAGGCACACAACAGCCCGCCATTGGGCTCGCACGGGGACGCCAGGCCCGAGCTGTGGAAGACTGCCGGCGGAAGGCCCGCCTCCGAGGGCGAGGCACTCAAGGAGAAGATCGGCGACGGGGCCAGATTGTTGATGCTCCCGGAGAAGCTGAGTGCCAGCGAGGCTGACAACCCGGGCGGCGGGAAGTCCAGCAGGCCGGCGGCTCCAACCGAGCCCGAGCCCGAGGAAACCATCTGGCTCGGACCCTCGCCATCCGTCTGCACTAGGGCCGCCGACGAGTTGGAAGGCTCCGCTCCGGAGGGATTCAAGTTGGCATAGTACTCCACACGACCGGCCAGCTTGCCTGGCAGAAGGAGCCGCATGTTTTCCTTCCCCTCCAGGCCCTTGAGCTTCACCTGACCAATGCTGTAGGTAAACAGGTCGAATTGCTCGGTCAGCGAATCGAAGGCCTCCTGCTTGGAGGTAATATGGTTCCAGGTGTCCCCGGAGACGGTGATCTGCCCGCCATCGGCGGCACCGGACACACGAGCCGCACGGTTGACCATCGGCCCGAAGTAGTCCATGCGCCCGGTCACCGGGTCCGTCTCGCACACGGGCTCGCCCACATGGATGCCCATGCGCACGGACAGGCCGCGGAAGATGAGCTTGTGATCATTGCAGAAAACAGCCCGGCCATCGGGCAGCTCCAGAGTCTGTATGGAAGAAAGATATGGACACCGGGAGAAGGGAGGGGGCATAGGGCGGGGAGGGGGAGGAGGGAAAATGGAGAAGAGGAGGAAGATCGGAGTGGCGTCAGCGTGCAGAAGAGACAAGAGGACAAGGGCAAAAGAGACAGAGACAGAGAGATGGAGAGATGGAGAGAGAAGAGGGGAGGGGGAAAGGGGCAAACGAACGGACCTCCTTCGGCCAGTCGGCCTCAACGAGCTCACTCTGCACGGCCAAGCACCAGCGAACCGCCGACACCGGGTCCTGGAAGGCCACCATGAACGCATCGCCCTCGGTCTTGACCTCGTAGCCGTCGTACTTGCGCAGATTCCGACGCATGATCTGGTTGTGAATGCGAATGCATGTGCGCATGGCGGTTTCGTTGGTTTCCCAAAGCGTGGTGGAGTTCTTGATATCGGTAAACACCAGGGCCAGCAGGCCGCGCGGGGGGCCCACCTCGGCGCCCAGGCGAGCCAGGGCCGAGTCGACCACGCCATTGCGCAGCAGCCGGCGATTGACGGGATTGGGCTTCATCATCTCCGACCGAGGGAGCACCGACAGGACGACCACCGTGATGGCAGTGCTGGCCCCATAAGAGATGGCATAGTCGCGGAGCTTCTGCGATGCGCGCGAGAAACTGGACGGCACCGACCGGACGACATCCACCGCCGTCTGGTGGCTGAGGAACTTCCAAAACCCGGAGCAGCCCATGATGATGAACTCGTCATTGGCCTCGACCTCGAATTCGTACATGCTGGGGTTGGAGATGATCTGCGGGAGGAGATCGCAAAAGCCGAAAGCTGCATCCGGGAGGGGGAGGGGGGAACATGGGAGGCAGATTGGCATGTAAGACAGAAGGAAAAGAAGCCGGGCAAAGGGAGAAGGAAGAAGGAACGAGTCGAAAGAAGCAAGCCGAGGACAGGAGGAAGCAGACCGGGAGACAGGGACAACCGGAAAGATGGGCAACATACCGCGCGTCGTCGGGAGCGACCCATTCAGTAGCCGGGAATTGGCGAACCAGCTACCAGCATTCCGGCAACGGGCGATCTCAGCCGGGTTGTACACATCATGCGGCTGATGCAGGGGGACCGGCTTGCCGCCCTTGCTGAGAACCGCCTGGGCCACGCCGGTGGCAAAGACATACACCTTGGACCCGCAGTAAACCACCGCCAGGGCCGAGGACCCAGACTGCCCGGCGGTCGGGTATTCTTCGCCGGTTTGGAGCACGCGATTGGAGTTGATGGACGACGAGGCCGGGCCGGTGGGAGTGGCGCCGCTGCCCTGAGGAGAGGGCCCATTGTGCAGCGTGGTCCAGGAGCTGGTGATGCCGTAGCCGGCCGCGTCGCCGCCATGCTCGCCGCCGAAGTACGACGAGAAGACCGTCGGGGCCGAGCCATTGGCCGTGGTCGGCGAGGAAGGCATGTTCACCTGGCCCACCACCGGGAAGGCACTCGGGCCACTCGAGCCGCCGCTCGAGCCGCCAAGAGACCCGGGCTGGACCCCGGCGATGCCGGCCCCATTCCCATTGGCCCCGGCATTGTTGCCATTGCCCAGGAAGGAGAAGGCCCCGGACTTGGAGGATAGCCGGCTGCTGGACAGCTGGGGCGAAGAGACCACGGCCGCCTCGCGCTGGATATTCCGCCGGGCAAGCATCTGACCCACGGCATAGAAGGCCCGCATCATGGAAGACACGACATCATGATTGCGCAGCATGAAGTAGAACTGGCTGGCCAGGTTCTCCCGGAGGAAGAGCGACACATCGTCCCGGAGGAACCCCTCGAAGAGGCAAAACACATCGGACCCCTCCTTCAGCTCATACACCACGGAGTTGTTGATCGTGGCTCCGTCATAGCTGAGCATGTTGCTGCAGCCGAGACGCTGGTAGCCCGCCTGCGGGTCGGCATAGTAGCAGTGCTTGATGGCCCGGGCCCGCTCGACCACGCTGTGACTGTGCGAGGTTTCGGACAAGTTGACCAGCAACAAGTCATGCAGGACATTGATGCCCAGCAGGGACTCCTCGTCGCCGCGCTGGTGCTCCAGCAGACGCGGATTGGCCGACAGGTCCAGATGCTTGATGGCCCGGTTTTGGCCCCAATGCCACTCGGAGCTGTTGGCCAGGTTGATCTTCAGATCATTGTGTGACAGGTCCACCACTTGCAGGCGCGTGCACCGGCTCAGCGCCGCCGGCAGGCTGACCAGCTTGTTGGAGTTCAAATACAACCGGACCAAGTTCGACAGCAGGCCCATCTCATCCGGCAGCGAGGTCAGCAGGTTGCCCGACAGTGAAAGGACCTCCAGCTTGGAATAGAGGCCAATGGACTTGGGGATCTCCTCCATGTCATTGTAGGCCAGGTTGATGACACGAAGCTCCGGCATGTGCTCAATCACCGTGAAGACATTGGAGGAGAGCCGGTTGTCCGACAGGTAAATCTCATTCGGTCGCGAGAGGCCGTTGGAGAATTTGGCAGTCGGGTGGGGAATGCGCTCGATCAGGTTGCTGGACAAATTCAGCAGCAGCAAGCCTCGCAATTGCCAGATCTCATTCGGCAGTCGGCGCAGATTGTTCGAATGCAAATCCAGCTGGTAGAGCGAGGACAGGTGGCCGATCTCCGGCGGCAGCTCGGACAGGAGGTTCCGCGAGATCGACAGGCACTGCAAGCGACTGAGGGCCTTGAAGGAGGGCGGCAGCATCATGATATGGTTGTCATCCAGGGACAGGTCGGTCAACATGACCAGCCGGGCAAAGGAGTCCGGCAGGGTGGTCATCTTGTTGTGGGCCAGGGTCAGCCGGCGCAGGACCGACGAGTCGGCCGTCACATCGAAGCGGGTCAAGCTATTCCGGGTCATGGTCAACTCCGACAGAGCCAGCAGCCCCGGGGTCAGGGTGAAGGTGGAGATCATATTCCCATCACAGTAGAGCTTCCGCAGGGCCGGGCACTCGCTGACACCGGAAATGTCCGTCAGCATGTTTGACCGGACGTCCAATTCCGAGAGCTTGGTCATCTGGGTCAGGTCTGGCAGCGACGTGAGCTTGTTGCAGAGGACGCGGAGGACGCGGAGCTATGGGGGGGGGGAGGGGAAGAGGGAGGAGGGAGGAGGTTAGCCAGGGTGGCGCAGGTGCCAGGACAGGGGGGAAGGAGTGCCCCTGCAAGGGAAGACCAGGAGGAGGAGGAGGAGAAGGAGAAGGAGGAAGGAGTCGCACATCGTTGGGCGGGGTGGTAAAGTCGATGGAGGTGAGGTTGCAGTAGGACATGTCCAGCAGCATCAGGCTTGAGATCTGGTTGAGTGCCGTCGGGAAGGTCTCGAAGTCATTGTTGGACAGGTTCAGCAGGGTGAGGTTGCGGAGCTGGCTGATCTCCTGCGGGAGGGAGGTGATGCGATTGCACTTGGCATCCAACGACACGAGCGATGAGGCCAGGCGCTCGATGGCCGCCGGCAGGACGGCCAGCTGGTTGGAGGAAATGTTGAGCTGCTTGAGGTTTGGCACCGAGCAAACACCCTGTGGGAGAGTTGTATACTCGTTGCCGGAGAGCTGTGCGGATGGTGGAACCAAGGGGGGATAGAGAGAGAGAGAGAGAGAGAAAGATTAAGGAGTGAGCAGAAGCACATGAACCGTCCAGGGGCGAGGCAAAGGGAGGAAACGGGAAAAGGGTATGGCACGCACCTTCAGTGCGGTCAGACGCGTGCAGGCCTCGGCAAAGTCCGCTGGGAAGTCCAGCAGGATGTTGCCAGAGAGATTCATCTCCAGGATCTCGCTGGCTCGCGAGTGAAGCACCGGCGGGATGTAGGGCAGGTTCATGTTGGAAAAGTTCAAGTGCTGGATCTGCGACAGGCGAGTGATCTGCGCGGAGAAGTCCAGTGCCTGCTGCGAGTGCTGGTGCGACAGCAGGAACCAGAAACAATACCGGTGGTCCATGCGCATCTGCTCGCGAATCATGCTCTCCGGGCTGAAGCCCAGCTGCTCGATGAAGTGCCGGGTGATGACCATCGGCTTCTCGTGGGGGAGGAGCTGGCGCACTGTGCTCATGTCAAGGGTTCCCCGCGATTGGAGAGAGCGAGAGAGCGAGAGAGAGAGAGAGAGAGAGAGA